GATGCAGCTTCTAAACAAAAGACTGAAAACACAAAAGAGGCTTTCTTTCGTGCAATGCTTATTCTTTTGATGATTGCCAAAAGAATGATTTGAATTTATGAAAGAGTAATACATGAAAGATTCATGTCTTTATTTGCTGTCTTGCTTTTCATGTCTTTATTTGCTGTATATGTTCCCATGGGTGGGTGGTGGTGGTGGTGGTGGTGCTTTCCCTCTTTGACTCCCCCCAGTTATTATTTAATTAATTTACCTGCATTTAGTCTGTTAAAGGTGAACATTTTGGTGGAGTTTTGGGGGGGCTGTTCCATTTGCTTCTGCCGGGGTGAGGCAGGGGAATAGACTTTGGGGCTGTGCCAGTGTGTCATTGGGCTGTGTGAGTGATTGTTCTGATTGGTTTCATTCTTGCTGTTCTTGAAGTGGTGCCTCGCTTGACGACGTTAATGTGTTCCAGCGAAATCGCTGTAGAGTGAAACCGTTGTCAAGCAAAAGTAAAAAGCCCATTAGAATGCATTAGAAACCGGTTAATGCGTTCTAATGGACGAAATACCTCATCGTAAAGCGAAGAACCTCCATAGGGCAGCCATTTTCTGCTCCCTGTAGAGCGAAGAATCCGTCCCTAACACAGCGGGGAACCATTTTGCACAGCAGGTGGCCACTTTGGAAACCCAACAATCAGCTGTTTTAATCATCATTAAGCGAAAAATCAGTTCCCGAAGCAGGGAACCGATCATCGTAAAGTGGATTTTCTCCATAGACACATCGTTTTGCGATCGCAATAGCGATCGCAAAAACCTCATCATACAGTGGATTTGTCATACAATGAGGTAATTGTCAAGCGGAGCACCACTGTATTATGTTGTTGGCTGCTTTGGTGAGTGGCTGTCTCTATATGCCAGGCAGCCAGTGCCTGCCTGCTTCCTTACTGTTTTTCTACTGTGCTGCTCATGTTGGGTGGGTGGCACAGATTGCATACTATTCCTTTTTCTTTTTTCTCATTTTTGGGTCCTTCCTGCTTTTTGAATTGGTTGGTACGTGAGTGAGGTGTTTGTTTTTTTTTTTTACTGTATGCATACAAATGACAATGGTAGCGGTGGTGCTAACAATAAATGTGATAATATAAGGTAGTGCCTGGAACGTCTGATGATGCTTCATCTTTCTCCTGCACAGTTGCCTGCTTTTGGAGCAGATTGATTTTCTGTTGCCTTGCCTCTATTTTTCTTGCAGGAATAGTTTTAAAGGCTTCTAGGAATGCCAGGAAAAACATGAATGGAGAAACTCTCGTAAGATGTTTTCTCTTTTGTTTAAAAAACAATGACTGATGTACAGCAAATGTGAAAATGATAGAGACGCCACAGAAAATAACTCGAAATGAAAGAAATATTTTAAAAAATTTGCTGTCCACATCACAATTTGCTAGAAATATATAATCCCAGTAATTTCTATTTCCTTTCTGGCGAATGCCTACTTAATTAATTACCACCCTACATGCCACACTTATGTTCCCTTTTCTGGCTTCAATCCAAACTCTTTCTGCCACTTACAGGAGAACTCTCACGGCTTTTCTTTTCGTGGTAAACATTTCATTTCACTCAAATGCTCTATTAATTCTGAAATCTCTCTTTACTGGTCAGCTGTAGTTCTGAAAATGTCCATACACCATAAAGTGATCATCAAAGTAGCTGTGGTGGCTACCACCCCCTTCCAGTTCACACGCCTGCTCTTTTCTGTGCACACGAGGGAAGACTGAGAGTACGAGCATAATTATTTAAAGAAAAAAATCTATATAGTTATTATGACAAGTGTTATTACACCCAGTGGTACTGTAGTGGATATAATGATGGGCTAAGACTCAGAATACTAGGGTGGGTTCATGAGCTGAGCAGTGGCTCATCACATAATATGGGCATTCTACACTGAATACTGCAAACAAAAGGCAAAGGATGCAACTATATTGACAAATAATACAGGAAATGGACTGGAATTGGGATTGCCTAATTCACATTATTTTCTGTTGATTACATGACATAAAATCAATGCAAATCAGCCTGGAGTCCCACCACCATCACCAGTCTGTAGTTTCCCCCTCTGTTGCTGGGGCTCTACTTTTTTGAATTGGTTCAGACTGTGTGACCTCGTGATGAGCTGATGTGAAGGGGTTTGTAATTGTTGTATTTAAAGCCATTCCAGCTGCCTCTATCAGTAGTGAGAGGAGCACAGTAGTGGGGAAATCAGGTAAAGCAAAAGCAAAGTGTGCTGCTTATATACCGCCCCATAGCGCTTCAAGCTCTCTCTGGGTGGTTTACAAATTAATTATGCAGGCTACACATTGCCACCCCCAGTGAGCTGGGTACTCATTTTACTGACCTCGGAAGGATAGAAGGCTGAGTCAACCTTGAGCCGGCTACCTGGGATTTGAACCCCAGGTTGTGAGCACAGTTTTAGCTGCAGTACAGCGATTTAACCACTGAGCCACGAGGCTCATGCTCCATTTGAGTCCTCTCCTCCACACACCTGGTGCATGGCTGTGTTTTCATTTTTCCCCCCCCCCCCCCCGGTAATCTTGGTAATCACTGGGGCAACAGGGCTACCCAAGAAACAAAAAGAGTGGGCAATCAGCAGAGAGTGGGAGGAGGAGGTTTTAAGGCAGCTCTTCTCCAACTGTGCCTCCTGGAAATTTGGATAGCCAGAGCATAATAGAGCTACCTTAAGAAGCTGGAAACAAAGCAGAAGTGAAAATATCCTCTTGTCTCTCTGCCAGTTCCTTCTTTTTTTCACTCTGTTTGCTCTATGACAGAAAGCCTTAAGAGAAAAAAGAAGAAGCAGAAGGGGAAGGGGAAGGGAAGAGAAAATAAGCAGACCCAGGCACCAGATGTGGGGAGGAGATTATTCAAATGGTTAACAAGCTGCAAACGAGGCTGAATTCCTCTCCTCTCTTTGCTGACTCTGTGTGGTCAGCTGAAGATAATTAACCTGGGGGAAACCAAACATCCTGGGTGTGAATTCACAGCAGATCCAATTTTCCTGCCATGCAATTGCACTCACAATAAAGATTTTTCCTTTTATGCCTTCCTTGAGGAGCTCCCAAAGGCATCTGATTGATTGGAGCTGGAAACAGAACAGAGTTATAAGTCCTTTGATCTGATCCAGCAAAGCAGCTTTTACAATCAATAACATACATTTTAAGTAAGTGTTTCAGAAATGACCCTGAAGATGTTACTAAACCACAGTTCATAGCAAAATGACATGTATAAACTGAGTTGTGCAGCTCAGTCCTATGCACAATTATACAAAGATGTGGGGGGGGGGAATTGGACTGCACCTCCCAGACAAAGAGATCTGAACATTTTAGTTCAGAGAAGTAACTTTTTGGATCTCTGGCCTTTCCCTAGTGAACCCAATGGCATTTCCTTCTAAGTAAAGATGCATAGGTTTGTGTTGTTTGAAGTCCAGAATGGGATCCTGCTGGGAGGGAAGTAGAGCAGATATGGATTTGCTCTGGAGGTGATCACTATTCCTTTGCCTTATTTATTAAGAGGTTCAGAAATGTTAATGTGTCTTTGTTTGTTAGATTATGTCCATACTTTTATTTTATTGCTTTAAAGAAACCATATGATATTTTTGTGCGTACAAAATTCAGTTAGCCTTGATGCAACATCTAACAAATTGCAGGTGATAGGTAGACAAAATTCCTGACATCTAGAAATCATTTTAGCAGGTTAGAAATATTTGAGATGTGGAGGGAAAGTGAGAGAATACTCATTGATTTGGTGGTTCTTGTCAATTAGTATCAAGTGTAAAAACAGCAGTTTTCTCAGAAATAATATGAAATTTGCCACCATATATCTTCAGCTGTGAGCAAAGTTTTTGGGGGCCAATTGTTGACATGTTTCCAAGAATGTTCCAGTGGATTCAGTGAGATTGTGGAAAAGAGAAAAAGTTCAGCAAACATACCAAATAATGGTTATAACCACAGCCATGTATTTCTTATTCTGTCATTTTGCTCTGGATAATGCATTCCAGTTCTCATATTGTATCTCTATACATGTCATATGGTGCTATGAGTTCACTGAGGTAGGTAGTTTGTTAGAAGCCATTGCTTTACAATCACTTCCCTTTTACCTCACATTCCTATTTGTAAAACAGAAATAAAAAGATACGTTCCAGTCAGGTAAATACTTTTAAGTATCATTGGTTGAAATCCAGTAGTAAGTCACAACTAGAGTAGATTCAGTGAATCACTGGGAGTTTCATGAGTCAGCTTTTGTATATGCTCCAGTGATTTAGAGGGCCTACTTTAGTGGTGACTTATTACTGGGTTTCAGCCACTGATTTATAAAGAAGAAATTTAAGCACATGACAACTGTCTGAAATAATAATAGCCATTAAAAATCTCTAACTTTACCTGAATCGCTAAGGAGCTGTAGTCAAGGACTAAGACGTAACAAAAAAGCCTTGGTATAAAAGCTAGATAAATAGACTGTGATTATAGTTCACAAACATTTGGACATTTTGCTTTTTATCATGTAGCCAAAATGGCATTAATTTGCAGAGAGATTGTGAAGGAGTTAATCTGCATGCACATCAACATGTTAATGATTAGCTGATTAAGAGAGGATTTATGTAACCCTGTAATAATGCCAACTGACCTATAGTACCACACTGTGGACAGACTTTATTATTTATGATCAATAGAGAAAACTGGATACTCAAAGGGGAATTTCCTCAAAGAAAGCTGCCTCGCTTCAGTCTTCTCTGAACCAGTCTCAGTCTTTGTACCCTAGGCTAAGGTTATCACACCAGAAGAGAGATGCAAAGGGGCGGGGAATGTGATGAATGACTTGGTTATGAGGGAGCTCTCCCTGGCAAGTCTAGCATGCTCTCTGAACTGGAATGGAAGACTAATGGGTGGGGGGGGGGGAGAGAAGAAACACAGTGCAGAGGCAGAAAATAAGGTGAATAACATTCAATTTAAAGCAAGAATGACCACTTTGGTCTCTTACGTATTGAATTGTTCAGCAAATATCAAGTTGGTTGAAGTTCCTGTAATGGTAGTTAGTCCTCCGATAGTAGATGAGTAGGCAATACACAGGCACATGACTTTGCACATCATGTGGTCCCTTTTGTTTTTATATTTTCCTTCTATTTCACTTGCTTCCAGTTTCTGCTTATAAAGATGAAACAGGAAAAATAATTAACATTTACCCATTAAGATAATGATAGAAAAATGTGACATTGTCATGTTCAGCCATTTTTAAGATCTCCCTATTAGATTTTAACCGTACTGTGTTAAAGCAGCAGCAGCAACAACAACAACAACAACAACAATGAGTTGGACTAACTATATTAGCAGTTTCGCATTAAGATTTAATGTCGTCTCCTTTCCTTTTGTGGATGAATAGAAATTGAAATAGAGTTTAACTCCATAATGCACTTCTGTGCTCTCCAGTTATAGAGAAATGGCTTGGTGCCAGGGGTTAATGGCACTGATCAGTGTCTCAAGATAAGAATGGATGAGTCATCCTTTTAAAGCAAAGTGGGGTTAGATTTGGCAGGACACATGCTGTCAAAAAGCTGCCAACAACTTCATGGTCAGACTTGAGCCAGAGCTGAATGAAATAAGTTCAAGGAGCAAAGCAAGGAAAAAGTGGATATGGAAATTCATTGAGTAAAGCCCATGGAGGGTACTGAACTGGAACCATCAGTAGGAAGGACAGACTCCTGGAGGCCTTTCTTTTAAGAGACATCACTTTAAAAGGGTTACAAACCACATGGAACCTATGGTGAAGCTCACTCACAACTTTGTTTGCTTATTTTAGTTGGTCCTCATAAAGGTAAGTAGTAAAATTACCCATATTTTAATTCTTTCCTAAAGGGCCAGTGTGGGTATATGTTTTAAAATAAGATTTGGAGAATTCAAAATCATTTTCATGCTTTTGTGATATTTGGGTTCGTAGTAAAGGCATTACAGTATTATACAGTTCAATTTTTAAAATTATTATTTTGCCCATTGGACCAAGATAAATACCAACTTTTAAAATTATTTGGAAAGCCACTCAATAATTATTAAATTATAAGCCAGGCTGTTCAGGACAAAGATGTTTGATCAAATCATTGAATATGGGAGATGGAAGGGCCGTTAAATCCAAACACCCCCCCTTGCTCAGTGCAGGAAACTGGGTACTCAGAGAGGAGTTTCCTCTTGAGAAAACAGCTTTGGTTCAGAAAAGCTTTGTACCTTTTTATCATGAACATGATAAGGAATATTTTGGATGCAACTGTAATAAGAAGCACCCATAATACACAGCTGAAGTTTCAGAGTCTCTACTTCTTCTATGATACTGTGATGTTCTCGAGTGTGCAATAATACTTTAAAAATAAAGATAATTGGCAGCCTTATATAAGTGCAAGAATTGAAACAAGGTAAGAACAAGAGAACTTGGATCTCAGGATAACCAAAATAAACATGTAAGGGATGGGACAGAAATAAATAACCATATAAACTTCTTCCTGCTCAAATTCCTGTTAGATAGAAAGAAAGGTACACGAAGGCTCATTTTTCTAGAGAGAATGACAAGGAGAGAATAAGTTGTTGCAACTCAATGGCCTACATTCAGTTCTTATACATTTTTGTGGTCAAAATAACGTAAAAATCAGGCAACAGATCTATACATTCTTTACAGTGGTCCATGGCTTCCATCTATGCGCTTGTTTTATAATTGTCCAAAAAACAGCTAAAGTGCTTCCCAATATATACTGTCCTGTTTGACTCTGCATGCTGGGATGCTATTTGTGTGCTATTTATTTATTTAAAGCCCTCAAGCATGCCATCAATTTATTTATTTATTTATTGGACTTATATACCGCCCCATAGCGCTACAAGCACTCTCCGGGCGGTTTACAATTTTTAATTATACAGGCTACACATTGCCCCCCCCCCAGCAAGCTGGGTACTCATTTTACCGACCTCGGAAGGATGGAAGGCTGAGTCAACCTTGAGCCGGCTACCTGGGATTTGAACCCCAGGTCGTGAGCACAGTTTTAGCTGCAGTACAGTGTTTTAACCACTGCGCCACGAGGCTCTTTTAGATATCTTCTTGTGGTTTTAACCTCATCCAGATGCCCTCATCCAAACTAAGGATTCCTCTTGGGGTGTGTGTGTAAAATAAGATTTCTTACAAACTAAGTAAACTTTTTTGTTTTGTGTAAAATAATACTTTTTACAGTGCAGTTACTCAGAAGAAAGTCACAGTAAGTTCAGTGATTACTGCCAGATAAGTGGGCCCTGGATAGCGTTCTTCATAAGATGAACATCAAACCAAATTAAATGATTTCTGAAAACATGTAGAAAGAATGGTTTTTAATGTTAATACCTTTTCCTTTTCAATGTTGCATGCAGCATGAACTGTAGGAGTAGTACCATTGCAGTACCTGGAAATAGAAAATTGCTGTTTTCATTTATCTGTTGAACTTCAACAAATTAATTGAATAGTGTAAAAGAGAAAATATGTACATTTTACCCATTAGCTTGCCTTGTTTTCTCTTTCCAAACAGCTGTTTCACAATCATTAATATTTTCTGTTTTAAAAAGTTTAACGAAAATGGTTAGTGAAAATTCAAAATGAGAGCACAAGTCTAGCTGGTCTTCTACAGCTCAGAGGAAATGGAGAGTGGGAAAATTTCACCCATTGTACCTACCATCAAGTTCCAGTGCATGATTGATGGCTCCATTCGCATACGTCATTTCCATGTTGTCAACCTCAGCTTCTGCGTTAATGATTTGTTGAGCCACTGCCTCTACAATTGGCATCACCATAGCAGCTGTGGAAGTGTTGCTCAGCCACATAGACAAAAATGCACAGCTGATCATGAAACCGAGGGTGAGCCTGAAACAAAGAAACTGCTTAATTGCCATGTCTTCTTAATAGCAAATATTTGATAGACCAGTGCTGAAATGGTCATTCTGTGTCCACCAAGAGTGCTAAATTATTTCTACTAGCTTCAAAGATTAGGAACTAATGATTCCCATTCTAAGGCTAATGTTAAAAACAGCAAACCAGGAGCATCTATCCCATCTCAGTTTGTACTCCTTTATTCTTCTAAAAACAATTTGACATTAGTGTCCATAGCTTCATTTATCATCAACGAATTGTCCATGTCTGGCCCCAGGCTAGAGGAGCTAGCTAAGTGAACATGTCTGGGTCAAGACATCTACAGGATCTGATAGGTGTTCTTCAAAATTGTTTATAGTTTCCACAAATGATGACAGGGCTGTGCTTCTGGATCATATGCAGTAATGAACTCATTTTCTAGGGAAACACTTTAGGCTGCACATTGTGTAATAATATGCCTAATATATCTTAGACATATGATAAGACAATGTGCATCCTGTCAAATCCAGCTTCTGTATGGAGTTCCCATTATAGATAACTGTATTGTTATAGGCTGTCAAGCCACTTCTCACTTATGACATCCCTGGTCAAGTTTTCAAGCTATGTGAGATGTTTAAGCAATGATCTACCATTGTCAGCGCACACACAAACATACACCATGAGCTTCCATGGTTGAGCGGGGATCTGAATGCAGATCCCCTAAATCCTAATCCTACACTCTGTTTGCTACATCACACTGACTCTCATATAGATACATAGATAATTAATGTATAGATAACTATAATATTGACACATAACAATTTACCTTCAATGTTCAAAGTAGATTCTAGAGAATAATATTGGGAGTAACTTGATACGTAAAATCTTCCTTGTTCTAGATTGAATCAGGCTTTTATTTGATTGTGGCCTTAACTGGCACATAGTTTTATAATTTCGAGTTAAATTCCTTTTGTACTGGTATGTGAAATAAATTGTTTCTGCCAATTCATTTCAAAGGAGCTATAAGGAAAGGATTTTCTTTCCAGTGTTCTATCAGTCTTTGATATCGTTTCAGGTGATTTAGAAATGCTCAAAGGACTACAAAATAATGATGATTAAATATGGATTTTCAAAATCATCATGCCTGTTCCTCATGGATTGAATCAAATTATCCATTCGGTGGTATCTGACCTTTTTTTTTTTGGCCCTTCTGCCACCTGATCCCAGACAGCACAGCAGTTGTGCTGGCAGATCCAGCTGTAACAGCAGATTTGAGACGAGGCAGCATTAGGGCTGCTGTGCTGGCAGAAGAGGTTTCTGCCTGTCCCAGACCCACTACAACCAGCATGCCTTTGAGTTACTTTGTACTGTTGGCCAGTAAGAACTATGCTCTAAAAATTGTTCTTTTTTCTTGCTGTTACCCTCCTTGCCCTACTACTTAAAACCTATTAACAGTTCAGAGATACTTTATGCTAGAACCCTTAGGGAGAAACTTCCTTTCTCCTTTCATAGATCATCTCCATGACTGACATCCACCCCCCAACCACCCCCAAGGATTTCTCTGTCACAAAAACAGTGGCAATGTTTTCATATATGCAATTAAGAGAAGAATCCATATGCTGCCCAGGCCAGTATTTGGACATGTGTAGGTACAGTCATGTTAATCTATATGCTTTGTTAATGTTTGATTATCTGGTTTATAAACTGTTATAATACATTTAATGTCGTTAAAGACCCCCACCTAGGATAACAGAGATCAGCAGCATTGCACTGCTCTGAGACCAAGAAGTGAACCACTGTGGTTTCAGAGTGGAAACCCTTGTGATTAACAGAGCCAGGGCAGGTAAGCACAGCATACATCCAGACACTGAGCCAGTGAGGAAGAAATTGCTTTAATGACGCTTCATATGCAAAAATCAAGCAGTGGTTCACACTGAGATTTATCTCCCTACCTGAAGAGGTGGAGATGAGTGTAAAAGATACTTTAGCCAACACCCTGAGACTTGGCAACTCTAACCAGTTAAACAACTCTGAAATAAATGCATTGTTTATTTATAATTTTATTAGTATTTCACTTTTTATACTATTTTCCTTTAAATATTTGCAAAGCAGTTTAGAAAAAACAACAACAAAACAATTTACCTGGTAGCTAATGTCATGATCATGAGATATATGGTCTAAAGCACGTAATGAGAATGGGATATGTAGTCAAGAGAAATGTAACATGGGGTCAGAATTGTTCTTTGCAAGGATGATCTGAAAGGACTTTGGAATGTGTGTGTGTGTTTTTGTTGTTGTTGTTGTTGTTTTGAAATTCTGTGAAAGTCTTTTCTTGCAGACAATTACATAAAGGATTGAAAGGACTTTGGAATGTGTGTGTGTTTTTTGTTGTTGTTGTTGTTGTTGTTTTGAAATTCTGTGAAAGTCTTTTCTTGCAGACAATTACATAAAGGAATGAGGTAACGAAGAAGACTCAACTTTCCAGGATAATTAGGGGAGACAAACAGCACCTGCATCTCTCGTGGGAATAAGGCGTGGAGAAAAGAAGAACGACCCCTAAAATCTGATTGGCTAACAGCTAGAGCAGGGGTTTTAAACTCAATTTACCTGGGGGCCACTAGAGACAGAGTTTGGGTGAGGCTGGGCCGCATCAGATTTTCTGCCAAGCAGAGCAAGAGCCCGAGGAAGCCGCCCAGGAGTTTCCTTAGCCGACAGACAGGTGGGCCAGCTGGCAGGCTGCAGTTCTGGATGGAGGGGGCAAGAGGTGCTGTCTTGGGAGAGAGCCGGCGAGCGAGGCAAGGCTTTTTTTTACTCTTGATAGCAGAGGATGTGTGGGCGCTTTGGGGGGGCAGGCAAGGTGAGGGCCACAAACTATCATCTGGGGGGGCGCAAATGGCCCCCAGGCCGCATGTTTGAGACCCCTGAGCTAGAGGGATGGAGAAGAAGGGAGGAGATTTAGGAAGTAGAAAATGGAGGAAGTGTGATGTGAAATAGTTCTTTTAAAGTTCCTTTTACTATTATTCTTTTCTGATGATGGATTTTGACTGATGTTGGTGAGCATGTGGACTGAAAGGGGGGGGGGTTGCCCTCTATAAGTCTACCCTAAAGATAGCTTTTAGATGTTTTTATTTTAGCTGAGAAATAGCTATTTTATTTAACTGCAAAAAAATCTTTGAATATGTTCTTGAATGCTATGCTTATGCAATACAAACTATGAAACTTTATTTTGCTAACAAAAATCTAATCTTAAAACCTTGTTGAGGACTGGTCTCTTGAACAACAAAGGTCTAACTTATTCCAGTAAGTGGAAGGGCCACAAGTTTGCTACTATTCAATCTTACCTCACTGAGCTGTTGTGAGTTCTAAGGAATCACAAAGCCCAGGTGCCTGTGCTTGCAGAGTACTAAGTAAGCACAAAAGTATTCTTTTTAGATCAGACTTGTTCAAAGGGGTTTATTCTATGCACCGCTCACAGTCTAAGGACTCGGCCCAGCAAGAAGGTGGTAGGTAAAGGAGACTCTCTGACCAACTTGCCCGTTGATCCTTTAGGGTAGTGGTCCCCAACCTTGGGCCTCCAGATGTTCTTGGA